ATAAATTTTTTTTTTTTTTTTTTTTTTTTGGTTTTTCGAGACAGGGTTTCTCTGTGGCTTTGGAGCCTGTCCTGGAACTAGCTCTGTAGACCAAGCTGGTCTCGAACTTACAGAGATCCGCCTGCCTCTGCCTCCCGAGTGCTGGGATTAAAGGCATGCGCCACCATCGCCCGGCTTGAATAAACCTATTTTAAATGTGTGAACTTAAAAAAAAACACATATCGCCCACAATTAACAAATGATAAAATATTGGGCCAGCAAGTTGCCTCGGAGGGTAAAAGCACCTGCCCCTGGAAGCCTGGTGGTGTGGTAAGCTCACACTCACACACACAAGAGCTAACGAATGTAAATTACTAAAGGCAGTGCTTTCTATGGAAACTCACACACATGCAGCCTCAGGAGGCTCGGCCAAGAGCCACCAACTGCAGTGATGGCAAGTCAGACTGAGACGCTTACCCAAATAGCATGCATTCAGAGTGAGCTCCCATCGCCAGGGCCAGGGGAGCGTTGGCATGAGGACTGGTCGAGTCTCCCTTATGCTGAGCTATAGAACGAGCTGGGCAGTGAAATGGCTCAGCAACTAACTCATCGCACTTGCTGCTCTTGCAGAGAACCTGGGTTTAGTCTGCAGTGCCGATGTGGTGGCTCACTACTGTGATGACCGTTTCAAGGGATTCAACACCCTCTTTTGACCTCCAAGGGCACGCGCCAGACACACACAGACAATGTACAAACATGCATCATGCAAGCAACACATATATGCATAAGGTAAAAATAAACCAGTCTCTAAAGGTAAGGATCAGCGGGAGAGCTCTTGCCTAGCGTACTTGGGTAAGGGTTTGATTCCCAGCCCGCGAGGCTGCAACACGAACCCAGTGTGGACCGTCCTTCCTTCCTCCAGCTGTCTTCCTCCTTCCTGACTTGTTCTTTCAGGCCTCCATTCATATCTCAGTTCCAAGAACAAACGACTTCTCTGCTGCTCCACGTAGTCAATGTTGGAGAGCGGTTCTCGCTTTTTGTACTGTCACAGGGGAACAGACAGCCGGTGCCCGCTGGAGTCTCCCGTGTGTCAGTTTCATCACCTCCACCCAGTGGCGTCTGCTTCGGGGTCCAGCTGAGATCACGGAAGGCAGGACTGGCTAGGACCGCTACACAGCCAGCCATCTGCCACACAGACATCGCCACGTCGGGAGCACGGGCAGACGCAGATGACACAATGCTGTCGAGGGGTGTAGGAATGAGTTCATTTGTGCCACCAGCTAAAGAGTGAAAAGGTGCCTGGCAGTGGTGGCCGCGCACCTTTAATCTCAGCATTGGGAGGCAGAGGCAGCTGGATTTCTGGGTGTAAGACCAGCCTGGTCTACAGAGTGAATTCCAGGACAGTCAGGGCTACGCAGAGAAACGCTGTCTCAGGAAAAAAAAAAAAAAAAAAAGGAATTAAAAGATAATGCCAGGAGTGGAATCCCAGCACCAGGGAGGCAGAGACAAGCACATCTCCTGAACTGAGGCCAGTGGGTCTACAGAGTTCCAGGGTAGCAGTCTTCTACACAGTGAGACTCTGTCTTAATAAGGAAAAAGAAAGGGGGGCTGGAGAGATGGCTCAGCGGTTAAGATCACTGACTGTTCTTCCAGAAGACCCATGGTTCAGTTCCCAGAACTCACAGGGCAACTCACAACCATCTTAACTCCAGTTCCAGGGGATCTGGAACCCATGGTAAAACATTAATGCACATAAAATAAAATTAAAAGAAACGATGACTGCTCATGACTGACAGATCAATCAGAATGAATTGTGAGTCATCTTCTGGGAACAATAAGATAAGAACTTGCTCTTTAACGTTTGTTTTCTTGAGACAAGGTTTCACTATGTAGCCTTAGCTGGCCTTGAAGGAATTCCATGTGTAGATCAGGTCAGACTTGAACTCACAGCACACACACCCCAAAACTTAAAAAAAAAAATGAAGGGGGTGGGGAAAGAAGGAAGGAGAGAAGTCTTGGGGAGTCCTGAATCTTGGTAGAGAGGTTAAATGATACCAGGGAAATCTCCCTCTTAGGGTCTCTCTTTCAGGTTTTCAAGACAGGGTCTCACTATGTAGCCCTGGCTGTCCTGGAACTTACTCTGTAGACCAGGCTGGCCTCAAACTCTCAGATATACCTGCCTCTCTTTCCTAAGTGCTGGGATTAAAAATACCTGCCACCACACCCAGCTGGGTTCTTTCCTTCCTTCCTTCCTTCTTTCAGTTTTTTGAGACAGGGTTTCTCTGTGTACTCCTAGCTGTCCTGGAACTCACTCTAAAGACCAGGCTGGCCTTGAACTCCTGGAGATCTGGCTGCCTCTGCCTCCCAAGTGCTGGGATTAAAGGCGTGCACTACTACCATCTACCTTGCTCTTTCTTTTTATAAAAAATAATTTATTTCAATTTATTCTATGTGTATTGGTGTGAAGGTGTCAGATCCCCTGGAACTGGAGTTAGACAGTTGTGAGGTACCATGTGGATGCTGGGAATTGAATCCAGGTCCTCTGGAAGAGAAGCCAGCGCTCTTAAATGCGAGCCATCTCTCCAGCCCCAGGTTCTTGTTTCTTAATTTAAGCAAATTAAGCCAGGCAGTGGTGGCGCACACTTTTATTCCCAGCACTCAGGAGGCAGAGGCAGGTGAATCTCTGGGAATTTGAGGTCAGCCTGGTCTACCGAGCTTGTTCCAGAACAGCCAGGGCTACACTCTCCCTAAAATAAAAATTAATTAAATAAATAAATTAAGAACAGATACAAACAGAAACTTGAGGATAACGCATTGGTGTTTAAGAGGGAAGCCCCAGGATTGCCAGGCAAGAGAATGGAGAGGAGAGAGGACCCTGGAGTCAGCCACGCGGCCTCAGTCAGCCATGCCGTGTTAACTCCAAAGATGGGAGGAGAAAGACCACCGACCTAAGCAATCAGGGCTAAATGAGTTAGAGAAGCAATTAATTAAAACAAGCCTTTCTGCTCATGTATACAGGCTGTCCTCCCCTCCAACCCCCGCCTAACGTGGGGGTTCTGGGATATGTGCCACACTGACACTCTGAGACTGAGGGCAGAGCCAGTGACTGGCTGACTGAAATTACCCATAGAGATTTTGGAGGACCCAGACAGGAGGGCACAGGAAGATAAAGGAAGGGGCTTAGAGAAATGCTCGGCCTTTTCCATCTGGGAAG